GTACTAAGGTTGGGCCGGCGTACCTCGTGTTCATTGCCTAGTGTTACATGCACATCCTTGACTTTTAGTTTGATGAACGCTATCATTGCCGAAGACGTCCAGCTGCCTAACCAACTGTTCATGGCGAGTGGTTTGTCGCCCATGATTCCCATGTAGACTTGATCGTCAGGCGAGATGTTGAGCAAATGACCTTGTACCTACGCATTGTGACGTTGCGAAAGTATCAGTAGATGTCAGAGTGATTCACTGTACAGAAGCATCTAGTATAGTATGGGTGGTAGCAGATTGGATTGGCGCATGAAGGTGGATGTATGACAATTTGATATACGAGGCTCTAAAGGCGAGCGTATCATACCCTCCGATTGCGCTTGCCTTCGTATGGACATGCCAGATATCGAATTGTGTTGAACGCTGCGGCTAAGGTAGAGACTAGCGCCTTATAATCAAGCACGTGCTAGGTATACTAAAATAATATCTATCCGGGCAAACTCAACAGTTTGTGGACGACAGACTTATTCTTAATCACTGCAGCACAAATACAAACAAACACGAAGAGTACTCCGAGAAGTCAGGCATTGATCGGGTTACAAAACATATACTAGTTTATAGCCACTCACCATCGATTGTGCGTTTCTGCCGTCAAAGCCTAGGCGTTCATACACATCGATGGATGTGGAAACGCTTCACACGATAAATATACTGAGTGACCAATTAGATGTATCGACTTAGAGACATAAACTAGTTTAAGTCGAGTTAGAGACATACATTAGTTTAAGTCGAGTTAAAGACAAACATTGGTTTAAAGTCAACTCACCATGACCTCAAACATGCGTTTCCTGCCTTCAAAGTATGGCTGGTAGTGCGCGTCGGGAGGATTGGTCCGCAATTTGAAGAGCGTGTGACCAATACAGTTGCCATTCTCGACAAAAACTGGAGACCTTTAAGAGAAGTAACAAAGAAACAGAAACATAGGAACAAAGCGATAAGTGATCTGAGAGCACACCATTATAGCAAAGTGATTACAGGCAATCCTAAAGACTGGAGACCTTTATGAGAAGAAACATTGTAGGTATGTAATCTGAGAGCGTATCACTATAGTGGAGTGATCACAGGCGATCCTAAACACTGGAGGTTTTTATGAGAAGGAACATAGAACTAGGAACACAGTATCATAGCGTTAAGAGCTCTGATGTACATATCACTAAAGTGGAGTGATCACTGACAATTCTCGACGACCAATGAGCACCTGGATATGACGAAAATGCAATGTTCCTAATCTACCTAGGTTGTCACGAACATGGATTGTTAGGTGTTAGTTTTGAGTGTAGTAAGACCACCAACCACCGCCCCGCTTACACTCACGTTGAACCAGGTGAGACACTACTAACAATTCAGCAAACTACGGGGAGAAACAGGAGGGTTGGTAGCTAGGTAGGCTGCAATATTAAGAATGGCACGCTTGTACTCACCATAAGTTGGGTAGAACAATACTGTTAACGCAGTATGCATCGAGACGAAAATGAAGTATCTAGCGGAGAATCGGGCTGTATCAGAAACACTACTTCGCTTGCACTCACGTTCAATTGAGCGAGAAACCGGCTTTCTAATGACAACGAATCGAGACAAATATAGTAGTTGTGATTGGTCAATTAGGCTGCAGTATCCACGCATACCTACGCCTTTCGATGATGGCAAGAGAATACCTTTCTATGCACGATAGACTGAGACGAACATATAAGTTCTTGGTGGCGAATGAGGTTGATACCAACACTGCCGCGCTTGGACTCACCTTGAATTCGGCCTGATCTCGTGTTCCTTCGCAGGATTTGAGCGTTCTGTAATTCTCAACGGAAGCTTGCCCATTGACATTCTCTTGCCCAAAACTGCCAGGTCCTGAATTACATTCGGTTGGGATCATGACTATGAGTATTATTCTAACTACTCTAGTACTAATGTGTGACTATTGTGGTACCACTCTGATACTACGATCTTTGTTACTCCTGTGGTATTTCAAAGGTGTGCTTGTGTTGTAGGATCACAATGTTGCGTATAAAACAAAATAACAGAAGAATGTGCTTTGCGTACGTAGCCAATGATGAGGGTTGGTGTTGTCACGTGCGGTATTCTCGGTACACAGATGATAGAGTTCCTTGAGATATTCCTGAAGGCAATCGCCAACCAAACTCAGTCGCTAATGACCACACGGAATGCCCTATCTCGAAGACAAGATTAATTACAGTCCCAACTACAGTGTTCGACACCAAATGAATACCTTCGATGGAACGGATAGTGTGTGGCGGATACACCCTCACATCTAGAGACTGCAGTACACGTAAATAACGTTAATGTGTGAGTTTTTAGAATTTGTTATACCCGTCTCCAGACAGCATTTGGAATGCCTCGTACATGTCTTTGTTGTGCGTACGACTGTCGGTATCTTTGCGCTCACGTACGAATTCTAAACTACCACACACACAGTACAGTGATCACACCCCTATACTCAAACTTCTGTAATCGCGAACCCCTCCCCCTTTTATCCATCCGCTAAGCTGCTAAACGCGTTGTAAACCCAACTCCCACTTGTTTGTGTTCCAAAACAAAGCATCAGCTACATTAAAACTTCATATAGATACAGCAAACCAGTGACTAAGAACATCGTCAAGCTGGCGAACATGTAAATTTCTCTAACATCACGGTACCACACCCATAACTACCTGCTTGGCAGCCTCAGACAGACGTCTTGTACGCTCGGGCTTATGCACGCGACCGCTCGAATCTTTTCGTTCTTTCTGGGGCACACCGCGTTTGTCGTCGGCAGGCATTGGGCCAAAGTGATGGGAAACATCCTGTCCAGAAAGTTACACAATTTGTAGAAGAGGTGGAGAGTTTAGATGCCTGCGTATAACGTAGTACTTACGGCTGAGACGCTACAAATGATCAATGAAAACTCGGCAAATCATCCAGTACATTTTGGTTTGCACATGCCGCCTTCTTCAAATCTGTTCCATTTCTTTAACGATGAATAGATGACCTAAATAACACATATATCTATACATAAATTTGAATGTCTGCCTACACACCCATACCTATAAACACACACACACACACACAG